CTCTGGTTCCTCTCTTGTAGTGTGCTCAGCTGGCAGCTCAGTCTGAAACCAGGGAACTACCAGAGCTACAGAAATGTGAAGCCAGAAACCAAGCATTTGGTGTACACTCTACTCTCAACACTCAGGACATAGAGGCAGAAGGATCAGGAAGTTCATGACTAGCTTCAACTACATAGCAAATTTGAGGCTAGCCTAGGCTGCATGAAACCCTGTCTCAAACCAAAATAAATAGAGGCAGTGCTGTGCCAGAAGAAAGTGTTTTGCTGTCCATCTCCCCTGAGAAGTCCGGTGAGGTTTTCCATGCCCTTCTAGACGAGGAGGTCTGGGGAGTGCTTCTGTCTGTTCTGTCTGCCATAAAGAGACAAAATCCAACAGCTGCCTTTATGGCTCTGTTTTTCCTAAGTAGACAGGTGCCAGCAGAGCCAGAGTGATGCATAGTTCTTATCACTCGTCGGGGTGACATGCAGCCATTGAAAGAGGAAATGGAGACTGGGCTGTAACAAAGTGTTAAGAAAACAGAACTAGCTGGACAGTAGTGGCACATGCCTGCAATCCCAGCACTTGGGAGGCAGAGGCAGGGGGATCTCTGGTTTGAGACCAGCCTGGTCTACAGAGCGAGTGCCAGGAAACCATGAAGATGGCTAGAAAAGCCCCTGTGCGTGTTACTGTGCTGCATTGCTGGGGTTAAGAGGCAAAATGTGAAGGTTTTTCCTTTGTCTTCTAAATTTTGAGAAATTTTGGTGTTTTTTATAATTCTTGTAATTGAAAATGAATGAAAGAGATGCCAGCTCATTTTGGCGTTCTTGGCAAGTGTGGCACCAGGAGTTTTAGGCGGAGGTGGCTGTAAGTTGATACCGGGTGTCACCCTGTTGGTCTGACAGGTGTGTCAGCAGAGACCTGTCCCACTCCAGGAGCTCTTCCCTTCACAGCAGGGTCCAAGTAGCTGTCCCATCCTGAGATAGTAGCAGCCTTGTTTTAGTGAAACTAGATTACAGAAGACAGATTATAGCAGAAAGGCTCAACATCTCTACTTCTGATATCTGTGTTGTAATTACCCTCTTACTGCTGTATTCTATCTTCTCTGGTTTACTTTTAAAATATGTGAATGTAGAGACACATTTACATATGCAGATTTTCATTTCAGTATTCAGAAGCAAATGGCTCCTCTGAGCATGTGACCAGTGCCTAGATGCCACAGTTACCCCATTATGCTGTATTTTATTCCTATGGCGTGTAAAAGCAGGTTGGCTCAGAAAAAGCTCAATTAAAAACAAAACCTCCAAAATAATGAGCATGTTACCCAGATGGTCATTCTTTTGAGTTGTAAGCGTCACTCTCACTCAACCGCTTCTCCATATAGGAGGTCGCAAGCTAGAACCATGTCTCTGATAATGTGCTGAGACCACGGGTGGCTGGGACTGCAACCCACATCTAACTTAGGTCTCAGGGTCTGATTCAGGGCCACCTTTCTGTAGAGTCTCAGGCCTCTGTCCTATTTCATTCTTAAGTAGAGTTTAATGCCTCAAACTAACCTGACCACTAGATTACTGTGAATAGTGCTTCCTTAGCTGTTGTTTTTAACAGAGACAGAGTGCAGCTGGGGCTTACCCTTTCTATGAAAACTGGTAGTTTTCTTTGAATTTTCAAGGGTGACCTGCCTACCTGGTCCCTAAGGCTCATGCCTTATGGGCTGCCACTCTCATTTGGTGCCATTTCTTCCCTTGCTCAAGATAGGCCTTGAGTTGTTATGGCCACAAAAGATGCAAGCTCAGACTTCTCAGTCCCAGCTCCTGATACTGGCGACTCCTTGCCAGTCACCTACGGTGAAAGTTTACCATGTAGCATAAATCACTTGTGTTTTATCAACAGATATGTGTCAGTTAATGTGTGACACTTAGGATATACAAGTTTGGAACTAGATAGCACTGTCAAGTGTGAATTCTCTGTATTCTGATGTCCAGACCTGCCCACCTTCACCTTCTCTTAAGTCAGCATCCGTTCTGCCCTCTCCAGCTCAGTGACACATGTCCAGCTACCTGGCCACTATGGCAGCTGGTCTCTCTGCTTCTGAACACTGGGGATCCCTAGGGAAACACCCCAAAATACAGCTTACCTATGTATGCCACTGCCCTGTTTTAGACCCATTAGTGGCCCCGTTAGCTGTTTTGTCCAGACCTTGCCAGTCCTTCTTGTCTGTTCACCGTAAACTTGGTCTGCTCTGGCTCCCTTCAGAGCCAGTTTGCCAGCACTGTGTACCTTCCTTACCCAGCATCCTCTGTCCTCCATAAAAACTGCCCCCAAGGGTCCTTCCCGGTACTAGACACCTCACCTGTCTCTCCATAGCAGCACACTGTAGTTAGGACCCTCCCATCACATGTCACACTTTATCCCTGCTCATTTCCCTGTCCCTTGCCCTTACCAGTCCTCTGGCAGAATCTGGAGACTGGAATGAGGGACCCCCAGGCCAAACCTCTAGGGAGCAAATCACCCTTTATCCTGTAGTCCAACATGGGCAAAAATAATGACTATTGTCCTTGGCCTGTTCTTGTACCTAAGGCTCTGGCCCATGGCTGCTTTCTGTGGCTACCCACCAGCCCTAGCTCAGATGCAGATAGTTAGATCTAGGCTGGGGTTGCTCAAGAGCACACAGTACTGTGTCAGGGCTCTCTCTGTTCCCCTCAGCACGGTGACTGCTTTCACTACCAAGGACAAGCAGTCAAGCCTAGGAGAGTGGGCCCTTCATCATTCCACCTGCCCCTCTCCCTTAGCTGGGCACTGGAGCCACAACTAGGGTCAGGCAAGGGAAACATACCCTAAGAACAGCAAAAAGCAGTGTGGGGGGCGGTTGGGGGAGGGGTTGGCTCCTCTGCCAGTTGAGACCTGGCCTACAATGACTTGTTTTTACACCCAACTCCTGTGCAGATGAGCCCCAGGCTTCCCCTCTGTGAGTCCACAGTTGACAAGCCCGATGGTACTGCAATCTCCAGTGTCAAGGAAGGCTTCTCTCCCAGAGTCTCGGGCCCATGCACACTGCACGCCACATGTGTTATGTAGATATGGCTCTGTCGAGAGAGACTACAAGACGTTGTTAATAATGAATGCCTTAGCTCCGCAAGCATGCCTCCCGAATCTTGAGGGTTTGTCAGTGACAGGTGGAAGCAGGTGGTATAGATGGTGCATGAGATCACTTATCAGAGTGGTCAGTGAACCCCGAAGCTTTAGGTCTGCAAGCCTCCCTAAGACCTTCTGGTCCTTTCTAGCCCCAGGCCATGACGTCTGTGTCATGGCCAGGTGTCCACAGTAAAGCCTCCTGAGGCAATGTCTCTGCTTGTCCTTCACAGCCCCGTGTCCTTCATAGATAACTCTGCGTGGTCACAGCATGGCCAACAAATGTCTCTGCATTGTTCTCCCACAAGATGATGTCACCAAGACTCCAGCATTGAAAGAGGGAAAGAAAATTGAGAATTCACTTCCCTATCAAAAACAAGTAATTTATATGTTAATGGAATGATTAGTTTCCAGTTAAGAATTCTAACATTTTAGAGCCACAATTTCAAATCAAGCTTAATTTGTCAAGTAACTGAAAGGGGGGGAGGGGTTTAAAGAAATTATTATCTATTTTTTTCAATATAGGATTTATAGTCTCAATTAGTATCTTGTAATGATGTTTCCAGGATAAAATACCAGCAGCTCAACTTTTCTGGCCACAAATGTACAACATATATCAGTTTATTTTTGGAGATCTGAAAAATTAGCTACTGTAAATAAAGTCCCCAGAAGACTTCTCCGGGAAGGAGAGGAACTTACAGTAATGTGGGTGACATATTACTAATTAATAACATGACCAGCCGCTGCTTCAATTAAAAGGACAATGGATGAGGAGGCCTAATAAGTGTGTGTGGCCTGGTAGAGCTAAGAGGAAGAGCCTTGGGGACGAAGGCCTCTGTGCCATGTGCCCAGAGCTCTTGGTCTAGCAGTTCCCATGAGCAGGACCGTGTCCTCAGTGAACCTTTGGTTGCCATTATTGGAAAACAGCTTCAAGACAACTGAAGGAGGAAGAGCTTCCTGGAAGGGTCCTGGGCCTTATGGGCCCCAAGGCCAGTCATGTGTAGATCAACTGGGGAGTGCCCCCTAGGGCTGAGACCAGGAACCCCAAAGAGCCTTCTGTGAGCCTGCCCTTCTGAAGGTGACACATGCTGGCATCTCTAGCTCCATTTAGAATTGGGGATTTGTCTGGCATGTGTGTGCCCTCAAGTTCAGACAGGATTATAGACACTGCTGCAGGCAGGCAAAACACAGAACAGGTCTGTCAGCCACATAAGGGGGTGGGGAGTGCAGGAAGGGCATCCAGGAGGCACCAGGAGAACTCTCCTATGCAGGTCATGATGAGGGTATCTCGGGGCAGGGAAGAGCCGTATGTACATATCTGGAGGAGCCGGCAAGAGGGCAGCATAGGCTGGACATGGGGTGTGTGAGTCTAGACTGAGCAGCAGCCAAAGCGAGGTCATAGCTAAAGGGACTGGAAGGGAGTGGAAAGAATCTGAACCCAGGTGGGTGGCTCTGTAAGGTGCTGCTGTGCTGCTGTCCTCCATGGCCGTAGGCGCAGTGTCCACGCAGGGCCAGCAGGGCTGTGGGAAGGTGGCGGCTGCTTCTGCTCTGTCCTCAGCTTATCTCACTTGAAGCACAGTTGCTTTTCTTGTAGAGTCATTCCCTTGGAGTGAATAGGCCCTCTGCCTTCGGGATACCAAGGCTTTGGCACTGACCCTGTAGAAGCAGTATGTTAGGAAGGCCCTCCTGAGGTTCACTCGGTGCTGTGCAGAGGGGACCTGGGCTGTGAGTCTTCATTGTCTGTCTAGACCCAGCCTGTGATGAGAAACCCAGGCATCCTAGGGAACATTGCCATCCAACCTCCACCGGCTCTTGCTCATATCTGGATCAGGGAGGACACACGGGACACCATCCCTCCGTGGTGACTCACCAGGACCCTCCCCTCTCTCCAGGTCATGCGGTATTTAAACTCACGTATCTAAGTGGTCATGACTATAAGCACCTATACTTCGAGTCCGATGCAGCCACAGTCAGTGAAATCGTGCTCAAGGTGAGTCCAGTCTGGCCTTTGACCCAGGGGTGGGATGGTGAGGTTCTACCCGGGCTAGTCTCAGACCAGGGCCACACCAGCCTTGGGCAGTGGCTCATCCCCTGCCTGAGCCAATGCAAGACTCTTGAGCTTCCTTCCAGCCCCCAAGGCCTAGTTCTTCCTCTGTGCTTTTTACCTTTCATGCACCATTTATTGTCCCTGACCACTGTCAGGAGCCCCCTTGAGGCTCAGGAGCCAGCTGAGGAGACAATAATTTTGAATCACTGAAGGTGATTTTCCCAACCTGTTCAAAGCATGCCAACTGGAGCTGGCCTTGTATTGAAGCTCAGCTCACTCACCAGGTACCTTCTGTGCCAAGCTAGCGTTCCAGCTGCCTCGGCGATGGCTACTCTGTCCCTAGAGAGCTCTACCTTATCAGGGAAGGCAGAGCAAAATAGAAAGCACAATGCAATACTGACAGACACAGAGGTGCTTTGTGGGTGTGCAAAGGGGAAGCTGCTAACATTGCCCTGGGTAAACAGGCAGATTCGCAGCAGCCTGGGAAGGGCCAGGCAGCAAGCTGGGTTGCCAAGAGGCTATACCTGCCTCATGGCTTTTGTTGGTTCAGGGGCTCTAGGGCAGGACATGGGCAGTTCAAAGACCCCCGTGACCACCCAAGAAATCCAAAGGATAAAGCCTCTGGGAGGACAGTTGAGGAGGAGATACAGTGACATGGGCACATGGGGAAGTTCACAGGCCACACTGACAAGAGCTCCCAGAAGACCAGGGTGAGGATAGTGCCCACTTTGGACTGCTGACTCCCAGCAAGCCAAGAGTTACTTGACAGGGAGTTACTCCATCCAAGGAGCTTGTGCCAGGTGTTGGGAGAGTAGGTAAAAAATATCCCAGTCCCTCACTTCATCAGGCCTCTAGGCTTATTTTTATAGCCAGCATTAAAATATTCAAGTCTTGAGAATGGTTCTAGTAAAATTATAATCCTGTGTTTGACATCAGAATAATTTTCACAACAGCAGATTGATGACAGAAACACAGGTTTATGACTTCAGTATGAGACTAGAAGATCAAGTTCAGAGAAATCATTTTCCAGGACAGAGTGTTCCCCCAAACCTCTCTGCAAAGCTCCTGGGGCCTGCCTCCTCCCCTGAAATAATGTCTGTCTCTCTCTCTCTCTCTCTCTCTCTCTCGCTCTCTCGCGCTCTCTCTCTCTGTCTCTCGCTCTCTCTCTCTCTCTCTCTCTCTCGCTCTCTCGCGCTCTCTCTCTCTGTCTCTCGCTCTCTCTCTCTCTCTCTCTCTCTCGCTCTCTCGCGCTCTCTCTCTCTGTCTCTCGCTCTCTCTCTCTCTCTCTGTGTGTGTGTGTGTGTGTGTGTGTGTCAGGGTGTTTGTAGAAATGTCACACATTGTGCACCTCGGAGCGCTTCATCCCAGAACCAGACTGGGTCACAGCTAGCAATCACGGTCCTGACCAAAGGCTGAACTTCACCTGTACCCTGCGCTCACACACAGGCTTAAACTCCAGCTTCCCTGCCTTCCCTTCGTGTCATATCTAGGGCTCTATGAGCTTGTGCCAGAGCTCAGCTACCATGACCCTGGCGGCCTCCAGAATTGACAGGAATGTTAAATCAGGAGCTCTTTAGGGTCTATCTCATACTCAAGTAACATGTCAAGAACTTAAAATAAGAGTTTAGGCAAAAATTAAGAGCCAAAGGCTAGTGCCTGCATAGCCATCTCAGATAGAGGCTTCCTATAGGGCAATGGAGGGAGCCCTGAGTAGCAGCTACATCCAGGGTGTCTCATTTCCTGTATCGCACCTAACCCTCCCAACTTCCCTGCAGAGTGTAAACATCATTGTCCCCATGTCATCGATGAGGTGATGGAGGCCCAAAGTCTCAGAGCATGGGCAGAGCCTCACAGGAGGCCTGTGCTACTCAGGGCTGCCCTCTACCCACCTGATATGCCAGAGCCACACAGGGCTCAGTCCCTCGTTCTGCTTGCCTCGAGATGAATCTCTGAGGAACTGTTGGGCTCTTCACACCGGGTTCTTCTGTGATCGAGTGATGGAGGCTGTGGCTTTATTGACCATGAAAACTCCCTATATTTTTATGCCTTAAGCTGTAAAGTGCATCGAAAGTAAAACACTCTATAGTGCATAAAATCGGGCACGTTTTAAGCCACAGCATATTAACCAGCTAATGGCAGACCAAAGGGCGTTTTTATCTTTTGATTATTACATTAATCTTGCATTAAAATTATCTGTGTGATTATCACAAAGCACTGAAGATAATAAATTCAGGAAATAGTTGGCTTGTTAAGGACCATTTTAAAATGCTTTTGACAAATTAAATGTGCAAAATACACCGCAAACAGTGGGTCAACTGAGTGCAAGTGATATAAGCCAGAGGTGGCATTTAGAGCATGAGAATGCCTCCCGCTATCCCCACACCTTGTCCCCACTGTCCCACGTCACCCTCCCCAGCCTGCATGCTGATGTATGGCTCTCAGCTAGAGACTGAGTAGCAGCTGTGGCAGACTGTGGTCGAATGAGGCCGGCCTTCTGTCCCCGTACGCTGGCCTGCGCTTCCCACTGCTGATGACCAGCACAGAAAGTTTGGAGGGACATTGTTAGAGACTCAGTCTGGGCAGCCCAAGACTCAGCTTTCTAGCCAGGACTTTGAGAAGTATGAGAGGGAAGCAATTTGTGTTTTCACAGAAAGCCCAAGCAAAAGACAGAGCCATGAATGAAGCTATGTCTGAAGGTGCACAGGTGGTCTTAAGAGGACACATGATCCAAACTGAAGTCCACCTGACTCCCAGGGACCGCAGCCCTCTGCAGCCCTCTCAGCCTTGCTTTTCTCACTGGCCTGGCTGGTGGGCTGCAGTGGACATTAGAGGCAGCCCCATGTCAGGCTATCAGGAGGCTGAAGAGAAGCTTTGATCTGACTTCACCTACCACATTTTCATCTTTCAGATGAGGCCAGGGGTGTCTGATGACCAGGGCTGTGGAGCTGGAGGGGCGACCAACAACCCAGGGCTGTAGAGCTGGCTGAGCAGAGTAGGGAGCATTCTGGGAGGCAGCCCATAGCAAGGAACATAGGCCTAGGGATCAGTAGCCCACTACTCAGGACTGAGAAACCTGCACTTTCTTCCTGTCTGTTGTAAAGCAAGGGCTTCATCCTGACCTGCTAGGCTGCAGGGTCAGCAGCAGCTCACCCAGGGTCACCAGCCCAAAGCAGGTGTCCGTTCCACCCCATGCTGTGGCCTGGGTGAACAGCCAGTGCTGCCAAGTAACAGACATGTCTTCTTGCTCTCTAGGTCAACTATATCCTGGAGTCACGAGCGAGCACTGCCCGGGCTGACTATTTTGCTCAAAAACAAAGAAAACTGAACAGACGTACAAGCTTCAGCTTCCAGAAGGAGAAGAAATCAGGACAACAGTGACACTGGCCTCCAATCTGTTGCTGCAGCCCAGCTTGCCTGCAGGGCCAAGTGGCCCCAGAGTCCACCTTCATTGTGCAGTGCCTGGGCTCACAGGCATAGTGCTGCTGGGCCCTAGGGGAGGGTTTAGAAGTAGGGGATGCCCTATTCCAGAGTCCAGGGACATTGCCATTGGACTGAAACCTGGCAATGGCTTTAAGTAGCAATGCCCAAGAGCCAGACCACCTCCTGGAGGAGCCACATGCTGCCCAGCCATGCTCACTGCCTGGCAGTCCCACTAAGGGTGTATATAGCCATGCCAGACATCTCCTTGCAACTTGATCAAATTTCTTAAAGCAAACAAAGAACAAAAGTGTACATTTCTTTTTTTTCCTTTTAATAAACAGGTGTACTCTTTATCATAGTTGGTATGGTGGACCGTTTTTGGGGGCGGAGGATTAATTATATTATCTTCTTTAAAATCTGTTCCTGTATTGAACAGGCAGATTGCAAAAACTATGGTTGGAGCGCTCAGAAGCAATGTTTAGGGCTTAGCCAGTAGTTAACTGTGCCATTTGTTTAAATGAGTACATTTGCTTTGAGAATAGCATCTTATGGAAGTTAGGAATGAGGACTGTGCATGCATGCATGCATGCATGCGTGCGTGCGTGCGTGTGTGCGTGCGAGGCTATCATTTTCCCCTTCAAAGTCCTTCTCAGCACTCCAGGTGGTACTGAGTTCCAAGCCAGAGTGGTTTCTCGTTCCCTCATAGCAAGTATGAGATGGTCAACCTGAACCTCAAAGAGTCTGTCTCGCTGGCACTGAAACCTGTCTCCTGCCCTCTACCTGGTGCCTACAGAGAGAGTGTGTCAGGAAAAGAGGAGTAGAGGGGAGCCCATGTCCTTGTATCCCAAGCTTTGGGCAGAAAGGGCAAGGTACCCAGCACCTTGACACCATGACTCTGCCTACACCAGATGTCTCTGCAGACCTCACCATGGCCCCTCCTGTGGCAGCATCCTTTCATACCATCCTGGGCCAGCACCAGGGTCGATGTCTCAATCCACCTATGTTTAGAACATTTTTTAAATCGTTGTGTCTGAGCATCTCAGAGTCAGGTGTGTCTTTGCAAAGGGTCATCTAGATGAATGCCTCATTCTGGTCTGTTCAGACAACAGGAACACCCTTTTCTAATGTCTTCCATTCCTATCTCCCCCAAAAAAGATATATTATTTGTAGCTTGCTCTGTATTTGAATTTTTAGCAATTTTATATTTAGATATCTTTGAAATTTAAATGACTAATTTGGTCATTAAATCTTGTCACGTATTCAATATTAAAATACTAAAAATAAAAGTCATAAATACCCTCTTGTATATTTCTTTGAATTCCTAAAGTCTTGAGTTCACAATGCTGAGATGGTGACCCCACAGTGGGTCTTCTGGGGTGACACACTGCCAGTTGATATATTCAACCATGGTAAACTGTACAAAAGCCACATCTGGTCTTCCCTTTGCTCAAGGGACACTGCAACCTTGGGCTCTCCTCTCCACAACTGTTGGTATGTGGCCCTCATTTGGCTAGGGTCTCTAGGGCTTGAGTTCTTGATGTCACAGTCCAGGTGCTGCATTAAGTGAACTGTGATCAGGGATCTCAAATCCTCAGGGTCATCGTGAGCCAGCCTTCCAGTCATTTCTGTTTCCTGGCCTTGATGGGAGACTCTAGCCCAGCCCTGTCTCAAGGTAGTTCATTACTGTGTAGCCTGGACTCTGAGCCTCTGCCAGCACCTCTGGCTACAATGTTGACAGGCCCCATGCTGTCTCTATTGGCCAACTTGGCCATCCTAACACCCTGTCACCTGCTGCCTGCTGTGGGTCAGAAGTCCCCAGCTCAGGGCCATGGTCCAGAAATCTATGGCTGCACTCTGTTGTTCGTCCCTTTCCCCGGGTCTAAGCTAGCAGCTGACAGACACTTCTGAGGCTTCCTGGAGTCAAAGGCTGGGAGATAGCCCCACTGGCCATATCCCCCCCAGCTGCTTTCAGCGGCTCCCCATCTTCTCAGATCCAGGGATGTAGCACATGGTGGGGGCACCAATAAAATAATGTGGCCTCCAGACCAGAATGCACTTCAATCCTAGCTGTCTCCTGGCTTCTGCACCTCTGGGTGAGCTACTTCCTTGAGCCTCAGTTTCCCCTTCTGTAAAAAGGAGATGAACCTAGTTCCTTCCAAGGGTGCTTGTGAGGGTTAAGTATGTTTGGTAGTATGAGTGACCAGGTTCCCAGACTGGTGGCACACGCCCTTAATCCCAGCACTCAGAAGGCAGGTGGTTCCCTGGGAGCTCAAGGCTAGCCTAATCTACAAAGAGAATTCTAGGCCTGCCAAGCTACACAGTGAGACCCTTTCTCAAAAAAAAAAAAAAAAAAAAGATATGTCTCAGTAGTTAAGAGCATTGATTGCTCTTCCAGAGGACCCCAGTTCAATTCCTAGTAACCACGTGGTGACTCACAATTGTCTATAACTCTAATTCCAGGGGATCTTGTGCCCTCTTCTGGCCTCCATGGGCATCAGTCACACATGTGGTGCACAGACATCCATGCAGACAAAACACCATACATGTAGAAATAAAGAGGAGACACTTAAACCACCCATCCACATTTCCCCCAAATCATGTCACACACAAGAGCCGTATCCCACACGGGACAGTAACTACTCTTGGAAATTTTAAAAATATTCTTATTACATTTTATTTTTACTTTGTGGGTGGCACACACACGTGGAGGTCAGAGGACAACTGTAGGAGTTGGTTCTCTCCTTTCACCATGTAAGTCCTGGGGATCGAACTCAGGTCATCAGGCTTAGCAGAAAGGGCCTTTACCCATTGAGCCACCTTGCCAATCCTGCCTTGATGACATGTGCCAGTGCCCACCCCTGCCTGCATTTCACAGGCTGTCAGCTCTCGTTACTATTTCATGAATCTTGGCCATCCCAGGCCAAGCTCTGCCACATTTTACAGATTGGGAAAGGGAAGCCACTTAAGATCCTTTCCTACTTTATTTTCTGTTGCCATGGTAAATGCTATGACCAAAAGCAACTTGAGGAAAGGGTTTATTCAGCTTGCAGTTCCATGTCACAGTCCATCATGAGAGAAGCCAGGGCAGGAACCCCATTGATAGGAACTGAAGCAGAGGCCATGGAGAAGTGCTGTTTACTGGCTCACATTCCAATCCCAGTTCCCCCTCCCCACTCTCCTCACCCACCTCCCATCTGCTCCTCTGTTGAGGAGGTAAGGCCTCCCCTAGGAAGTCTACTAAGTCTGTCCCATCATCTAGTGGAGGCAGGACCAAGGCACCCCACACCCCTGTGTCTAGGTGTCTCTCCATAAAGAATGGACTCCACTAAGTCAGTTGGTGCATTAGTGTGCATTAGTGTTAGATCTTGGGAGTCTAGTTGGGTCTTATGCAACAGCCTGCTTTCTTATAGCATCCAGGATCACCTGTCCAGGAATGGCACCACCTGCAGTAGGCTGGTCCCTTCCACATCCATCGTCAATCAAACACTGCCCTGCAGGCTTGCCTATGGTCCAGTCAGAGGAGGGTAGTTCCTCAGTGAAGGCGCTCTCTTCCAAGTGACTCTAGTTTGCATCAAGGTGACAAAACCTAACCTTCCTGTCTACACCCCCACACCTTCCCTAGCCCATTGATGAGGGCCAGAAGGTAGGGAGTGGGGACAAGGGCTAAATCAGGAATATTTGTTTCCACCAAACTCCTCCACTAGATGCAGACGGCACCAGGGAGTGTTGTTACTCATGGAGCCCCAGGCCAGTTCTCAACACAAGGGGATTATGTTTCAAGTGGCTGCAGCCTGTTCATTGTGCAGTTAAACTCCTCTGACGACAGGAAAGCTCCCATGGCAGTGGTCGATTCTCACCTCCTGATTAGACAAACACATGCTGAGGTCTGGAATGAAAAGTTAATGTGCCCGTTTATTCATTTTTCTGACAAGTCACAATAGATTTTTAACTGCCAATGAGTAACCTCCCCAAGGTGCAGTGGCCGTGAGTGGCCATTTCCGCCCAACACCCCCTGCCATCCGGCTCTCTTCTGGGGTCAGGGCACTGCCAGCTGTGCCCTCTCCTGCACCCCACAGCAGCTGGCCGCCCAGCCTCATCGAAATAAACAGAAGGTGGCAATGGGCTCTAGCATGGCATCCTACTCCTCTGCAGCCAGGGTGGAGATGCCTGTTTTAATCTGCCTCAGCCTCTGTGGAATAGAAGTTGTGAGATGTTGACTTGGAGGTGGGGGTCTGCCTAAAGAAGCCAACTCTGCAAGGGGAAGAAAAGGCTAAGCTTGGGGCCTAGCTCCAGCCCCAAGGATCCTGCCAAGGAACCCACAGAGAAAATGAGCGTCTACCTCCTTATACTGTGTGAGCCCAGACCCATGGCTCTGCCTCTCTGAACCCCTTTGTCTACACAAACATAACAGCATCCCACAGTCTATGAAACGATGTGCACAGGCCTGGTGTGTGCATTAGGGCAGGTAACAGGTGGCCATGTGGCCCAGCCACATACTCTTGGAGATCACACTGGCCGCACCTCCCCCACCAGAAGGGCCTCTCTGTGCAGGGCAGCCCTGGGGTGCAGACAGGGTCTGCACTTTTTCTCCAAGAGCCCCAGCACCCAGCCAGCTCCCCTCTGTCCTGTCCCATCAGCTGAGCAGCCCCAGGGAGGCCTCACATCTTCACACATTAACTCCTGGGATCTGGGAGAAATACTGGAAAGCTAATTCTTTTTAAACAGAGAAAATCTGTCTGTGTTACAGACCCCAGCTTCCTGAAAGCTGAAAGTATTTTAATGTCATATTTCCATGTAAATTTTAATTTAGAATTTAATACCCTTTTAACATACATTAAATTTTTAGCATTCTTCAAGCCCTTCACTGTGTTAAGTACTTAGCCGATGTGTGTTGGGGGTGGAGGGAAGCAGCTGGAGGAAGCTGTAAATTAAGAAAGTTCTAGAAGCAAGGTTGCCACAAATCTTCATGCCCACCTCATTTGGGTGTTACTCTTTTGTTATTCTTTTGGCATGCTGGGGAGGTGTTGGGAGACTGCAGTCCCCATGGGGACATCAGCTGTGATTGATTGGTGGCTTCCCTGGGGAGTGGAGAGTCCCCACAGGAGGCACTTTGAGGACAAGAGACCAACAACACGACTTGGCAGCTATGCTGCCCGTCTCTGACTCTCTGTGCCATTTGCCTGCATGGGGCTCTTGTCATGCTTGGCCATGTCTGTTACCTTGCCCGAGGTTCATAATAGGGGTGAATACACAGGGAAGAAGTTTGGGGGACCCCATAGAGTGGGATAGCTGCCTTGTTCTGGGTTCAGGGTACAATAGCATAGGGTTAAGGACAAAGGTGTCATCCACTTTCATTTAAGGAACAGAGGAGACCTGGCCACAGGAACTATAGACAGGTTCCACTGACCCCAGACCCTACAACAACTGGCCTGGGCAGCAAGTGACTAGGAAATAGGGTGTCTCCTGAGAGTCCTGATGCCAGACTGTCAGGACACATCCCCTGAGAACAGGAAACAGCTAAGTGCCCAGCCAGATCCTTGGGAGTTCAACATCTGAACAAGGTTGTGAGCAGCGGAGCCAGCCTCAAGGACCACACACGCCAGATCCCCTACAGAGCAGAGCTGCAGAAGCCTCAGCCAGCCTGAGCCAGCATCTTTGTTATGACTCTTCACACCCCAGGAGCCCCAAATCCTACAGACCTCACTGTCTGCCTCCAGAGGCCCAGAGGTGTCTGCAAGGCCTGTGAATGGTTGTCCAGAGTTTTGGCTCTGGATAGAGGCCAACAGCAGCCAGGAAAGCCCTACCCATGGCAAGAAGGTGAGTGCAACCATGGTTCCTGGACTACTAGGCCCAGGTATGGGGTCACTCTGAAGTACACTATAGCTGAGCTGCCCTAAGTCATCACACCAGGGCCCCTGACTGAACCCCTCTGAGGACCCATCTGTAAAACAGGGCCGAAGTAATGGACCCTCTCTCCTAGAGTTCAGGAGATGGTGCCTAGCAGGCCCCAGAGCATCAGCTGCTAGTCATAAACAAAGCCTCATTACAAAAGGTTTGCTTGGCCGTCTGTCCACTTATCACTAACCAAAACATGAAATGTCGAGTATAAAGCTAGGCTGTGGTAGAGTGCCTGCCTACCATGCATGAAGGCCCCGGTTCAATTCCAAAGCTAAAACCTGTTTTGGTGATACCCACATGTGGCATCCCAGCACTCAGGAGAGGAGAGGCAGAGTTTAAGGTCAGCCTTATCTCACAGATAGCTTGAGTTCCTGTCATTCCTGGGCAGATATGGAACCTA